TTCTTGTATCAACATGTTAAACAAGCTACGAGGATGAGGGAAGGGGACGTTCCCTCCATGCTAGATTTGATATTTACCAGGAAGGAGGAAGAGATATTTGACATTCAGTACCTTCCTCCCTTGGGTAAAAGTGACCATGTCTTTTTGGGAATAAAGTATGCAATGCGTTATAAGCTGGAAGAAAATAAGGAGGTTGAAGCAGTTGAAAAACCAGACTTCAGGAGAGGACATTATGGTGACCTTAGAATTTTTTTTAGTGAGTATAATTGGACAGACTTGATGCTAGGCAAGGAAGTGAATGAGATGTATGGCAAGTTTTGTGAAATATATGATAAAGGCACAAAAAAATTTATACCAAAACAGAGATGCAGAACTAGAAAACAGGATTGGTTCAATAGAAATTGCGAGAGGGCTAGAGACCGAAAGACACAAAAATGGAATCAATACAGGAAGAGGCCGAACCCCCAAACATACCAGCGATACAAAGATGCGAGAAACAACTACACGGCAGTGAGGAGAGAGGCAGAAAGAAATTTTGAAAAAGGGATTGCGGACAAATGTAAAACAGAACCAGGTCTATTCTATAAATTCATAAACAACAAATTGCAGGTAAAGGATAATATTCAGAGGTTGAAAATGGGAAATAGATTCACGGAAGATGAAAAGGAAATGTGTGAAACACTAAACGAAAAGTTCCAAAGTGTGTTTGTACAAAATGAAATCTTTAGGGAACCAGATACAATAAGAATTCCAGAGAACAACATAGAACACATAGAGGTGTCTAGAGACGAAGTGGAAAAAATGCTCAAGGAGCTCGGTAAGAACAAAGCAGCTGGCCCAGATGGCGTTTCACCATGGGTTCTGAGAGAATGTGCATCTGAGCTCAGCATTCCACTTCACCTGATCTTTCAGGCATCCCTGTGTACAGGAATCGTAGCAGACGGGTGGAAACAGGCTAACATAGTTCCAATCTACAAAAGTGGCAGCAGGGAAGACCCCCTCAATTATAGATCTGTATCATTGACAAGTGTAATAGTGAAAGTATTGGAAAAACTAATCAAAACTAAATGGGTAGAACACCTAGAGAGAAATGATATAATATCAGACAGACAGTATGGTTTTCGATCTGGAAGATCCTGTGTATCGAATTTACTCAGTTTCTATGATCGAGCCACAGAGATATTACAGGAAAGAGATGGTTGGGTTGACTGCATCTATCTGGACCTAAAAAAGGCTTTCGACAGAGTTCCACATAAGAGGTTGTTCTGGAAACTGGAAAATATTGGAGGGGTGACAGGTAAGCTTCTATCATGGATGAAAAATTTTCTGACTGATAGAAAAATGAGGGCAGTAATCAGAGGCAATGTATCAGAATGGAGAAATGTCACAAGTGGAGTACCACAGGGTTCAGTTCTTGCACCAGTGATGTTTATTGTGTACATAAATGATCTACCAGTTGGTATACAGAATTATATGAACATGTTTGCTGATGATGCTAAGATAATAGGAAGGATAAGAAATTTAGATGACTGTCATGCCCTTCAAGAAGACCTGGACAAAATAAGTATATGGAGCACCACTTGGCAAATGGAATTTAATGTTAATAAATGTCATGTTATGGAATGTGGAATAGGAGAACATAGACCCCACACAACCTATATATTATGTGAGAAATCTTTAAAGAATTCTGATAAAGAAAGAGATCTAGGAGTGGTTCTAGATAGAAAACTATCACCTGAGGACCACATAAAGAATATTGTGCAAGGAGCCTATGCTATGCTTTCTAACTTCAGAATTGCATTTAAATACATGGATGGCGATATACTAAAGAAATTGTTCATGACTTTTGTTAGGCCAAAGCTAGAATATGCAGCTGTTGTGTGGTGCCCATATCTTAAGAAGCACATCAACAAACTGGAAAAGGTGCAAAGACATGCTACTAAGTGGCTCCCAGAACTGAAGGGCAAGAGCTACGAGGAGAGGTTAGAAGCATTAAATATGCCAAAACTAGAAGACAGAAGAAAAAGAGGTGATATGATCACTACATACAAAATAGTTACAGGAATTGATAAAATCGACAGGGAAGACTTCCTGAGACCTGGAATTTCAAGAACAAGAGGTCATAGATTTAAACTAGCTAAACACAGATGCCGAAGAAATATAAGAAAATTCACCTTCACAAATAGAGTGGTAGACGGTTGGAACAAGTTAAGTGAGAAGGTGGTGGAGGCCAAGACCGTCAGTAGTTTCAAAGCGTTATATGACAAAGAGTGCTGGGAAGACGGGACACCACGAGCGTAGCTCTCATCCTGTAACTACACTTAGGTAATTACACTTAGGTAATTACACACACACCCACCACACACACCCACCACACACACCCACCACACACACACACCACACACTCACTCACTCCTCGAGCTACGAGGAGAGACTACAGGAATTAAACCTCACTTCGCTGGAAGACAGAAGAGTTAGGGGGGACATGATCACCACATTCAAAATTCTGAAGGGAATTGATAGGTTAGATAAAGACAGGCTATTTAACAGAAGGGGCACACGCACAAGGGGACACAGGTGGAAACTGAGTGCCCAAATGAGCCACAGAGATATTAGAAAGAACTTTTTTAGTGTCAGAGTGGTTGACAAATGGAATGCATTAGGAAGTGATGTGGTGGAGGCTGACTCCATACACAGTTTCAAGTGTAGATATGATAGAGCCCAATAGGCTCAGGAATCTGTACACCTGTTGATTGACGGTTGAGAGGCGGGACTAAAGAGTCAAAGCTCAACCCCCCGCAAGCACAATTAGGTGAGTACACACACACACACACACACACATTGGCAAATGGAATTTAATGTTAATAAATACCATGTTATGGAATGTGGAATAGGAGAACATAGACCCCACACAACCTATATATTACTGTATGTGAGAAATCTTTAAAGAATTCTGATAAAGAAAGATATCTAGGGGTGGTTCTAGATAGAAAACTATCACCCGAGGACCACATAAAGAACGTTGTGCGAGGAGCCTATGCCACGCTTTCTAACTTCAGAATTGCTTTTAATTACATGGATGGCAATATGGTAAAGAAATTGTTCACGACTTTTGTTAGGCCAAAGCTAGAATATGCAGCGGTTGTGTGGTGCCCATATCTTAATAGCACATCAACAAACTGGAAAAGGTGCAAAAACATGCTACTAAGTGGCTCCCAGAACTGAAGGGCAAGAGCTATGAGGAGAGGTTAGAGGCATTAAATATGCCAAAACTAGAAGACAGAAGAAAAAGAGGTGATATGATCACAACATACAAAATAGTAACAGGAATTGATAAAATCGAAAGGGGAAGATTTCCTGAGACCTGGAACTTTAAGAACAAGAGGTCATAGATTTAAACTAGCTAAACACAGATGCTGAAGAAATATAAGAAAATTCACTTTCGCAAACAGAGCGGTAGACGGTTGGAACAAGTTAGGGGAGAAGGTGGTTGAGGCCAAGACCGTCAGTAGTTTCAAAGTGTCATATGACAAAGAGTGTTGGGAAGACGGGACACCACGAGCGTAGCTCTCATCCTGTAACTACACTTAGGTAATTACAGTTAGGTAATTACACACACATACACACACACATACATCTGATTGGGTGAACCCTGGGCTTCACTGATGTGTCTGGGGTTGGGCGAGAGGGTTTATCTAAACCATTGACTAAGTCAGGCAGACCTGGATTGAGTACCTGCCACTCTTAAAGCTAACTTGTGGGATTGGACCCCTCCCCCCTCCCCTTCCCCATGATTATACAGGCAAGGTGAATAAACTGCCATCTGCTAGTATAACTAGGTGTGGTATATCACCCCACACACAATTTCTGAACTGCTGATACTATACTCAATCCATAGATACCTGCCACAAGGTACTTGTGTCCTTAGATATAGGCTACCAGTGCTCGTGTGCACAGCGTGCACAGAACTGCACAGCAACCATGATCTAAAAGACAAGCTCAGAGAACACCATTCTCTCTCACACCCCCACACTTGAAATAGATACTCTTTAGACAAGACATGACTCCTGGAGGGATACGACAGTCATTCTAGGGGAACAGACACTAGCACCAGGATATCCCAGTGTTCATTGGCACATTAGGAACCACTAAGCATTAAGATTTGATATTACTGGACATGGTAGCAGGATGGGTTAGTAATCTTTGGTGTTTTTATACTGGTTGGCGACATTTTGTTTCAACCTTTTCCCTTCGTCTGAACACCAGCATGGCATTGCCCTTCCCTTCCCCTTTCCATGTTTGGTGGCTCATTCTTTTGAAACAACTGACCATTAAGAGCTGATACACAAGGTAGCATTGTGTGCTTGGCATGAGTTTGTGATATTTTAATTGATTTTGGGATAGTCTTGGGTTTGGAGGTTAGATACTGACACTAGACATATTTTGGTGCTGTCTGGCTACACTGTGTTACTCCTCTGATAAATTGCAGTTTTGTTGTTGTACATCTACATTACAATAAATAAGCATGCACAGAATTATAGAAAACATGCAGAATCATAGAAAACAATGCTATAATATTCTAACAGTTTTGTATACGATATCATTCATGTTTCAATATCTTATTGAAGTTTATTTGAAATTCAAGATATTTTTGGTCTGTGCACATAATTACAATAGGTTTTTTGGGTGCCAGTAGACAAATACCAGTGACTTTTTACCAACTTTTCCACATAAACCATCTTTCAAGCCAAGCAAGCTTATGTCATTTATATCATTAGTAAAATAAGTGTTAAATTTGTATTATACAGTACAGTATTGTACAGGAGTATTTATTGCTGGAAGGTAGCAGAAGTTCTATATTGTAATGTTTAAGTTTTAATGTTTCACTGTCCCCCAGTTTGCTCTGCATGCAGTTTTATCTCGTATAGATTGAGGGTTGACTTTACTGTGTGACCCAATCAATATCTAGTCACTTCATTGGTTAATGACTATCTTTACAGGATGTGGATTAACAACAGCTGCCCTCTGCATTGGGTTGAGGAGTTTAAGTACTGGTCAACGCAAAACTTCCCAGGCTATGATGAGGTTCCGGGTTTTAGCACAGGGCTTTACTGTCGTTGCTCTGATGCTAGGTGTTTTAAAGACATCAATGCATTAATTGGCATTAGTACAACCATTTGAATATACTCTCACCAAAATTTTTCAGTTAAATTAACAAATCTGATATGAGGACTAACAGGTCTCAGAAGTGGTTGTACTGTATTATTTTATATAGTGGAAAATTAATGATTTAGACTAGACAAATTTGTAGTTTATATTATTCACATTGGTCATTTGTAGTTCACTTGCAGCAGCATAATGTTCACCTGTGTATTTATTTTGTAATGCCTTAATTAAAGCTCATGTGTACAATAAATTACAGCAAATACAAGCTGTTCTTACTGGATATCCAGTAACTACTGTATATCCTACTGTATATCCTACTGGATATCCAGTAGCCTCGGTATTATTCAAAATGAAGTGTGTTTAATTTTAGGAATAAAGACTTGTACAGTATATCCTGTTGTATATCTTCATTATGTACATTATTTCAACAAAATAGACTATGGATACACTGTTTTACAGTATTTAGTTATATTCCCCACCCATACTGATACGAATAGGGGAGATATAGTATATGAAATTTGTACCGTATCCATTTACAGTTAAAGCTTAATTTTAATCAAATGGCAACAACAAAAAAGCTGATTCCAGAATGAGAGCCCCACAGAAAAGGTCCCTCTATATAAGGGAATATGTTATTAATTTAGTTGTTCAAAATTGTCAGCTTTTGCTGAATCTTTTTCAATTTCTGTGGAAGGATTGAAAAGCCTCTGATGGTACAATAGCTTTAGTTGCTGTGGGGTACATGTAAGAAGCAGGTAAGTAGTATAAGGTAAATTAGAATCTTTGAATATGTGAAATTTAGGTAACATTTCTAAGGTAGGATTTAGGATTTACAAGGTAACCTTGTTGAGGTAACGTAATAAAGGAAAATGATCATTTAAGATAGCTCTAAATTCAGAATAATGGTAAAGACTAGGGAGATGTGAATTTAACCTTCCACTGCATGACACAGCACGGGATGATTTTGCTAATTAAATCTCAGAATAATTGGTTACATATTTATTGTAAGTGATGCTGTGCTGTGGCTTGGGTAGTAGTAGTAGTCCCAGAACCCCATCAAGCAGGTATCACAAGTTGCATGACTGCTGTCAGCTGCTACTGGTAGCTCTCAATACTGAGGCGTCGCACTCAGAAGGGGTGCCCACGATCTTTTCCAAGATGGCATCTGTGTACTAGAAGCTTGTGAAAGCAATGAGTGTCTTATGTACCTGTGAGTTTTAAATCTTGTGCTTTTCTTTAAAACATCCCCGATTGTGTTACACAGTTTACAAATACTGTATTGGCATAGAACATCTCTCGTGTTTCACAATGGAACGGTTAAAGGTAATCTATTCCCTTGACCTTCCAACCACCATATTAGATTCTAGGAAATGGTTCTGGCTAGGTTATGTATTGGCCATGCACACTTAACACAGGCACTTATTGAACACCACCCTGCTCCTCACTGTTCCACTTACTCGTGTGCATCCTTATAGAATGGCACAATTTTCATTATGAGTTGGTTTTGCTTTCCTACTATCCTTTGAGTTCATATTTTGAGCTGAGCTTTTCATATTTGAGCTTAAATTTGAGAATTTGAGTTCTTGCATTGGCATCCTAAGTAGTATTTAGTGACTTTTGAACATCCAGTGACACTGATGGTGCTACAGTCTTCCTGGCTTGGTCCTTTCATTTAATTACTATCTAAATTAGTTTAATAATGCATTACATAAGTTTTGGAATTTATGAAATCATTCTTTGGTTATTCACAAAGATGTATAATTTAACTAAAATGGCCACCAATGGAAAAATTAAACATTTGTAATTTCAGTGATTGGATCGTATTTCTGAAATACTGTAGTACTGAGAAAGTTTTATTTACAAAAACTAGACACAAGTACATTTCAATAGTCGTCACTACCACTACACAGAGAATTTGAGAAAATAGCATTGAAGATTACCTTATACATATTTGCTAGCACAACTTGAAACGTTCAAGAACAGCTCTAAGAGAAAACTTGGTATAATACTCATGCATAAATATCACAAAGTCTGCAACAACCTTACTTGACAGCTGTGGCCACATACACTTGCCTCACATGACAACCAAAAAAAACACTATGATGGTAAAATAAGATTAAATAGAAACATTTTAATGTAAAATAGCAAATGAGCAGGAATAATACAATTTCAATAATGGCTTATTAGTACATTGTGTATAGGATAATATAATATATATAGATTTAATCATGTATCACAATTTATTTGGCAAACAAAAAAAAATTGTAAACATTCTGAAGATTATTTGCTTTAAAATTGGCAAATGAAACTGTTCCCTCCAACCTTAGCTGGTTACCATCCATACACAAAAATAAAGCTCAGTACAGCATGAGTACTGTAATGTACTGTACTTGGAATTATGAGGATTCAGACATCTATTATCACCAAGAAATATCACCAGAATGTTTCTCTAATCAGCTAGCATTTATTATGAATTAAATAGTTATGATGACTTTTACAAAATCACAAAGTGCACACACAAGATTTAAAGACAAACTAAACTTACCCAGGAAACATTTGGAAATTGTGGCTTAAGCTCCTTTTTGCTCGGAACAGAACCCTTCTTTGGGTATCCCTGCTTCACTTATGGCTAAATCTAATTAAATTAAACATCTTTCCATTTTATTTTCAAATAAAATGACTTTTTTTTAACCAGGATTAAAGTTAGACAATTATCACCTTAACTCTCTCAATGTGACTAGATCTTATTTATCCCTTTATATTGCCAACCTTGCTTAACACTTTCTTTTTTTGAGACTTGAAATGATCGTCAGTGTAAGAGTTAATACTGCAACTGTAAGGGGGTAAAAAACTGTGGGAAGAAGCCCACAAATTCTCCCTTTTGACATTAGAGATGTCATGAGAAATCTATTTGGCTGTAAATTCCTGTTGCACAAGTAACTTCCTACAATAACAATTGGAAATATTGGCTATAGCATAAAAAAAAAGTGAGCACTTTGTGCAACTGTTAATAAATTACAACATCCGATACAATGCAGACATTGCATCAATGTCATTTCGATATGGCATGTTATTTGCAAGAAAAGTTGTCAAAATATGATTGAGCAGAAAACAACGTAAGCGCTACATATAATGTTTAGTGACTTGAATCAATTGGAGGCTCAATCTCAAGCTCATGAACATTCACAGATCAATGTTATGATCAGTCCTTAATTATACCATTCTCAAATTATAAAAGGGATTTGAAAAGTATGTTTATTGTGCATATGATTTAATATTTAATAAAAAGTTTCTAAACAGGCATGCAGATAACATTAAAATCTTTAACAAAATAATGATCACTACATAAAACAGGTCTCTCAGTATTGTAGCTCATCTTTCAACAGTTTAGAAAGAAATAATAACTTTCAAGTCTTTAATAACCAAATTAAAAGACTATGTTTCATTCACAGCTTCTGTGATAGATTAAGTGTAGACTTCAAAACCATAAGCTGGTGTAGATGAATAATTACCAATACTTATTCCAAAAATTCAAAGCACTGTACAGTACTGTATTTGAAGAAGTGACAATTTAAAAAATCTATCATAAGTATTGTATTTGCACAAAACTTGGTTCTAATAGTTTCATTTACATTTTTGTACATGAAAACAACTGGGTATGATGATGTTTATCAATAAATCAACTATTGCAGTGCATGTACTTACGGTTTCTAAATGTAATTTTAAGGAAGTCCACAAGCATGAAACACTTAGCTGTCATTTTAATAAGGATACTAGGTCATGTAGCCCCTCATACAACCCTTACCTTACATGTTGCTATAGAAAAAAAAAAAAGTGATAAAATTTAGTTTGTTTGCATTAACTATTCAAAAAGGCCTTATTAATTTATAGTTTTGAAACCAAATACAAATCTCTATAAATGCAGGAATGTCAGTTTAACATGAAAAAATACTATATTTATTCAAAGGAAACATTCCAATTCTAAAGACAGCTTTATTGTTCTTCAGATATATACTCTGCAAGTAAACCAAGAATATTCGTTTTATGTTTTATTAAGTACGTAAGGAAATTACTAAAAATTAACTTTAGTTTGCATTATGCATAAAACAATGCACAGTGTAGTATCAGGCAATTGTTGACAGTGATGTTAATAAATATGCAATGCACTGACACTGCAATACTGTATATTTTTATAGTCTGTCAAACATTCATCATCAACCAAAATTTCCCCAACACCTGCAACTAGATAATTTCTTCATACTGTATTTAATTTGTAACAAAAGTGAAAGATCCATTAAGTATAGCATTAATAAGAATAAAGTTTTTCATTACAATCATTTTTGATAACGTACAACTGCTAAATGGCTTACATCAGTTCCCACTCCACCATTCGACTGCCCCAATATTACATATAATGGCAATGTTGGCCATCTTTATCAGTGACATACAATTCTCCTAGTAACTAAAATCTGTAAGCTTAGGATCCGAGGTTCTTGCTACTTACGAATTTCATGGCTTTGGCATACTATTCAAGCACATAAATGATGGGGAAAGTTCTGGGTACAGAATATACCCTACTAGGATGATGTGCTATATTTTTCTACCCTCTTCTGCAGCACATTCTAAAATTTTAATTAATTTTTAAATATCTAAGTTCTGCATACATGCTATGCCTTTGTATAATCCATTGCCACACATGTAGGTCTATATAATATTCAGAAAGCTCATTATTTCCCTACACTGCTAATGAGCTTCAACAATGTTTGTTTACTTTTTTTAAATCAAGCTAACAGTAACTACATAATGCTGGAAATGCATGATAACCTTGTAAAATTACTCCTTCAGTGACTGATTATAATGCTTTATAGCTCCCTAGTACCCAGGCAAGCTATTCACTTTTGGATAATTACCAAAACTGCAAGCCAATATTACAACCATCCTGAGCTGCACACTGCAGCAAGCCAGAAAGGATTGTAATTAAGCCATTCCCACAAAGCATTAGTCATGTTTACATATATAGTACCACAGTATTAATCATCCTAGTTATTGCTTTCCATTTTAGCACTTCATTGTTATGCCTGCCTTTTTTCTTTTTAACTTTAATGAAGCATCTTAGCAAATGTCCTCAGGATTGATTGATTTCTTGATCCTTAGTAACATTGTAGTATACCACTGGTCAAGCCGCGAAATTGAATCGTAATCCTTTACTGTGTCGGTGAATGCATCCACATTTTGCTCCTCGAGATGGTTTGTAAGTGCCTGAGAATTAAAAAAAATGAGAAAAATATGAGGAAGCTAACCCAAAATTAGCATAAGTGATGAAAAAATACAGTACAGTACTTGTTTCTTATTAAATTTTATATATTTGTGTCAAGACATTTTTCATAACTAGAATCAAATATACAATTTAATGGTAAAACAGACACCAGCTATAGCATTATCCCTTAACCACTGCAATGCACCTTGAGGCTCTTGATGGGTGGTGTGCAATGCGCCTCAGGGATCTTATAGGTATAGTGTATCATTCAAAACTCCCGCGGCTACACCGAGGTTCACATCAGCTTCCTCAGGGCTCTCCTAAGCAGACGCCATTTAAAAAAGAAAAAAATCGTTGGCAACATTCCCGGGTACGAAGTCCTCAGTACTGAGTGAGCAACCAATGCTGGTGCATGCAGCATGAGCTAACAGCATTGCTGTTCAGCTTTAGACCACAGCATCACCTAAAAGTTTCCAAATATATATACATATGCTATTATTTAGTGATGATAGTATTACAGAAGACCCCCTGTGATAAAATTGACCAGGATTCTGATAATAGCAGGATTGTGGTGATAATTAGCACTGTGGTGGGAGGAGAAATTTTGGTGGGGAGGGAGGTAGCATTGTCTGTTGACTGTGTGTGGCCATCTTTTACTCTCTGGACTCACTATACCAGCTTAGTGATTCGCTATGGTGCACACAAATGTAGATACAGTACTTATATATATATATAACATGTGTATTTAGTGTAATAACAGCAAAAAGCGTATGTTGGGAGGAGCCATTTTGACAAGGGAGATGGCATCGTCTGCTTGATTCGTCATGCAGTGTATGGTGGCCACTAATGCTGTTTGGGCACCATATCAGCTTAGTTGTACAGTTATGGTGATTACACATGTAGATACTTATATATAATGTGTGCATATAGTGTAATAACACCACAAATAGTATGGTTGGAGGAGAGGGAGCATTAGCTGACTATGTGGTGACCTCTGTTATTACCTGAACTCACCATACCAGCTTAGATAAACAGTTATGGTGAACAAAACATATAGATACTTATATATAATGTCTATGTAGTGAATAAAAGCAAAAACAGTATGGTGGGAGGAAAATGTTCGCGAGTGAGGGAGTGGCGACCAGTGGCTGGCTGGCAGATGTGGTGGTCACTCCTCATTGCTTTTTGACTCACCATACCAACTTAGTAGTTTGTTATGGTGACCAAAACATGCAGATACTTACATATAACCCATGTATATAGTGTAATAACATCAAAACTATATTTATTGTTTTATGAATATTATAATTGAATCACTAATATGCACACCTTAATTTTGAGTATAGCGATGATTCACACATTGTTTTATATAAATACTGTATTGAATAATGCAATATTGATAGTGTGTATAATACACTATCAATAGTGTGTATAATGCACTACACACTATTGAATATTACAAAAAAAAAAAAAATCAGACATTGAAATAATCAGGTAATAATATCATTGTGGCAAATTCTGCCTGACAGCTCGGGCGGAGCAGACCGCCTCCGAAGCTTGCTGTGTCAACGCCTCTTTTTGCCAGACTTTCCCACCCTACTGAGGCCAAAATATGTCATCTACGATTTTTTTTATTCTTTTTCCTGTGATCAGGGAACACAAATGAACACTTTTATAAGACGAAAGAATTTTTTTTAATATTTTTTTTTTGTGCCTGGCGGTGATGTAGACCAAAAAAGCCCTTAGTGGTTTAATGGTTACCCCTTAAGCTGCTAAGGGGTCCTTAAGGCTTTAACACCCTTATGTGCAAGAAAAAAAAAACCTAAAAAAAATTTCATCTTAAAAAAAACCAGCGTTGAATATAATGAAACACCATTTTCTGGGCGAGTCCCGGAGGCTCCCTGGGAGCTATCCAGGCTGAATGGACATGTATAACTTTCTGGCATCAGTCAAAATGCTTGGAGTTCTTGCCTACCAGGAACCACGAGCCAGAACCTGGCCCCCTCAGAGAGGCACGAGGAGTAATGGCCTATAGAAACCCACCTGTGGTTGGGAGCATTCTATGTCTGCCATCGACCTGGACAGGCACCCAGAAAGGTAGGTGCCTCAAAACAAACCCCTATTCTGGTGAAAATATTGCTACCAAAAGCCGAACAAGTGGTCAGAATTCCCCAAACAAAATTATTAAACTAGCATGACGTCATCACGTTGTCGCACTGCCGTCTGCGCAACCCCCCCCCCCCCCTTCTACACGAGGGAGAAGGGGAAGCCCCAGACCATCCGCGCTGGCGATCCAACTGGCAGTTCTTAGGCTGGACGTCAAACTACAGTGGTACCTCGGAATATGAGTGTCCCTGAATACGAGTTTTTCGGAATACGAGCAGGATTTGCTCAGAAAATGTGCCTCGGAAGGCGAGGGTTACCTCGGAACACGAGTTTGTTGATACGCGTACAGGCCGAACTAGCGTGGGGTGGTACGGCGATCGTCACCTCTCACCCCAGTTTACCAGTGCCTCGCGCCCAGTGACTATCCCATGTCAATTCTTCACCCGGATTTTCAGTGTTTTGTTGGATTTTTGGTCATTTGACCATAAAAGTTATTATTATATATCTCACCATGGGTCCCAAGAAAGCCAGTGGTAAGGATCAAGGCAAGAAAGCCCATGTGAGGATGACAATAGAGGAGAAACAAGAGATCATTCGGAAGCATGAAAATGGTACATGGTTTGTTGAACTGTGGGAAGAGATGCAAACTTTTATTGAAAAAGACTTACCCAAAGAAAGCTGTAGTAGGCCGTTGCCTTAATCTTTTCAATGACAATGTAATGCCTTACTACAGAGACAGCTTGTGAAGAAGGGAAAAACAAGCTTCCATGGACAGATTTGTTGAGAAAATCGAGCAGTGAGCCAGAACCTAGTATTATGCAGGCAAAACGTGCCAGGGAGTGCACACCAGAAAGGTCCTCGTTGCCTGATGTTATAATAGAAGGGGACTCCCCTTCCAAACAGTAACACCTCTGGTTGATACCTGGTTGATGGGGTTCTGGGAGTTGTTCTACTCCCCAAACCCGGCCCGAGGCCAGGCTTGACTTGTGAGAGTTTGGTCCACTAGGCCTCTCCTCCTCACCATCTTCCATACGCCTAGAGCATTCATCAACAAGGGTAAGTAATAACTTGATCATAGTTTTGTAGGTTTATTTAAATGAATTAGGTATAAAATTTAGTTTGAAGTGAGGTTTTTGGAGAAGTCAGGAACGGATTAATTCATTTCCCATTATTTCTTATGGGGAAATTAGCTTTGGAATATGAGCTGTCTCCAGGAACGGATTAAACTCTTAAACCGAGGTACCACTGTACGCGAAAAACACCGCGGACCAGAGGGAGGGAGGGAGGGATGCCGGGGAGCCTCCGAGACTTGCCTACCTTACCTTGAGGTTACCTTGAGGTGCTTCCGGGGCTTAGCGTCCCTGCGGCCCGGTCGTCGACCAGGCCTCCTGGTTGCCGGACTGATCAACCAGGCTGTTGGACGCGGCTGCTCGCAGCCTGACGTATGAGTCACAGCCTGGTTGATCAGGTATCCTTTGGAGGTGCTTATCCAGTTCTCTCTTGAACACTGTGAGGGGTCGGCCAGTTATGCCTCTTATGTGTAGTGGAAGTGTGTTGAACAGTCTCGGACCTCTGATGTTGATAGAGTTCTCTCTCAGGTACCTGTTGCACTTCTGTTTTTCAACGGGGGTATTCTGCACATCCTGCCATGTCTTCTGGTCTCATGTGATGTTATTTCTGTGTGCAGGTTTGGGACCAGCCCCGCTAATATTTTCCACGTGTAAATTATTATGTACCTCTCCCGCCTGCGCTCAAGGGAGTACAGTTTTAGGCTCTTTAGTCGGTCCCAATAGTTTAGATGTTTTACTGAGTGGATTCTAGCAGTAAAGGATCTCTGCACGCTCTCCAGGTCAGCAATTTCTCCAGCTTTGAAAGGTGCTGTCATTGTGCAGCAGTACTCCACTCTAAAGATCACAAGCGTTTTGAAAAGTATCATTGGTATAGCATCTCTAGTGTGAAAAGTTCTTGTTATCCAACCTGTCATTTTTCTTGCAGTTGTGACGGCTACTTTATTGTGTTCTTTAAAGGTAAGGTCTTCCGACATGAGTACACCCAGATCCTTTACATTGCCTTTTCGTTCTATGTTATGATTTGCCTGAGTTTTGTACGTGGTTTCCGTTTTTATATTTTCATTTTTTCCATAGCACATGAGCTGGAACTTATCTTCGTTAAACACCATATTATTTTCTGTAGCCCATAGAAAGACCTGATCTACATCTGAATGGAGGTTCGCCGTGTCCTCTATGTTGCCTACTCTCATGAAGATCCTAGTGTCATCTGCAAAGGATGATACTGTCTCCACTCGATCATCCGGACTATATGGGAAGGACCCCCAGCCGGATTATCACATTTTTCGGATAATGGTACTTTTTCACCTACGAGTCCAAAAGTGACCATTTCCAACTATTTTTATACTACAAACAACATAATTTGAATTGCCTTGCCACATAAAATTAATAAATATTCAACTAGAAACCTCAACTTACCTTGTTGGTGTTCGTCTTCTTGATTGATGCCACACATCTTGAAGTTAAAAATTCTTAACAATTTACGTAACCTATACTAACACAACACCACTATCGCAGGCCCTTCACATTCTGTGGAGACAAAGCCTAGATACTGGCGTTATCCCTGACATACTAAAAACAGCAGAGATAGCACCACTCCATAAAGGAGGAAATAAGGCAGAGGCAAAAAATTACAGACCGATAGCACTAACATCGCACATCATAAAAATTTTTGAGAGAGTGCTAAGAAGTAAGATCACAAAATACATGGAATCACAGCATCTCCATAACCCCGGACAACATGGTTTCAGAACAGGGCGCTCTTGCCTGTCGCAGTTGCTGGACCACTATGATATGGCATTAGATGCTATGGAAGACAAACAAAATGC